GAGAACTTTGAGCTTGTATCTTCACTGGGTAATGCCTTCACTGTGCCAGTGGTGTGGACCAGGCTTTGCATTTCCTTATGCCCCCTGTTCTCTAGGGGCTACTCCCTCTTCATTCGTGGAGCATAAGCACTGCTTGATTTTCCAGGTTTCTGAGCAGTTTCTTTCCTTGGTAGGGCTGCTTTGTTTGCACCACTCTTTTATCACCCTTCAACACCTGTACCTGTTTTTAGTGAACTCACAGGGAAGGATTTTGTCATTTATAATGTTGTGTGGAGACTAATAAATACCACCTGGATTTATGAGAAAAAATGTTTTTTCTCTTCTTGTTGGTTATTTGTATATACATATTTTGGGAAATAATCTTTACAATTTGGCTAATGAGTCTTTTGAATCCCTTGTACATTTTATATATTAATTCTTTTTCTCTTATCAGTACACAGGTTTTCTCATTTGTTTAATTTGCTCTGCAGGTATTGCTTTCTGTGTGTATGTATGTGTGTGTTTTACATTTTCACATTTCAATTTCAATATGGCAAGCTTGCATTCAGCAAGTGTTTTGTTGCCAATTTTTCATGAGGCTGAAGTGCTGGGTACCAGTGTTTAGGGATAAATTATTTTTAAGTTACGTAGACAGGTTTTTTGTTTTTCAGGCTAAGGTGTTAGTTTGTTAGTAGCATTTATAAATTTATGTGACTTTTTCTAACCTGAACCCACAATATCTCCTAAAGCCATATTTTTATATGATGTCCAAGGATGTTCTCCCATCCTGGGGTTACCTTTTTTTCTTTTTTGTTATTATTATTAGTAGTAGTATATTATATTGACTTTTATTGTTAGATAGAGGAGAAGGGAGGCCGAAAAACAGTGATTTGAGAGAGAAACATTGATCCTCTCTCCTCTCTCTCCTGTCCCCCTGAGGGACTCAACCCTTAGTCCAGTTGTGTGCCCTGACAGGGAATCCAACAGGCCACCTTTAGCTTTGGGGGATGAAGCCCAACAGTCTGATCCACACTGGTCAGGGCTGCCTTTTCATTTCATTATATTAAGTGCTGTTCTGTGAAGAAGGTTTTTCATTTGTCTTAGCCCGGACTGTTTATCTTTGCTTTTTTGCCTGGTGGTGTTTTTCACATTCAGAAGACTGTTTGGAAAAAGAAATCTTCACCCTGACTGCTGGAGCTAGGTCCTGCAAACTGGAAGGTCACCTGTTGGATTCAATGTCAGGGTACATGCCTGGGTTGCAGTCCAAGGTCCCAGTTTGCATGTGGGAGGGAACAGATGGATTTTTCTTTCTCACATTGGTGTTTCTCTCCCTCTCTTTCTCTCTTTTCTTTTGAGAATGAAAGTGAGTAAAAATCTTTTAAAACATAATTATATAGATGTTTTAAAAAGCTAATCTCTAAAACGTCTGTAGGTTGTGTGAAGGAGTTTTAATTTTTAGGAATCACATTGAATTTTTAATGAAATTTGAGCTCATTTTTATCAGTGGTGTCCAGTTTTTTTGTTTTACATGTAAATGTCCATTTTCTCCAACACTATTTACTAAGAAAACAATTTTTTCTTTCTCATATGTCTTGTGTTTCTTTTGTCAAAGATTAGTTGAACATCATTCCTGTGTTTATTTCTGTGTTTTCTGTTGTGTTGTATTGGTCGGTGTTCATTTTAATAACACACAGTTTGCTGTGGCTTTGTTGTAGAGCCACATTGAAGTCAGGAAGTGTAATGCCACCAAAATTTGCTTTTGCTATTTGAAGTCAGTCTTTTGATGGTCATATACCTCTCAAGATTCTTTTATTATTTGTGTAAAATGCCATTGGAATTCTCACCAAAATTGCATTTCATCTGTAGATTGATTTGGGTCATATAGACATGTAACGATGTTAGATTTTAAAATCCAAGAACAGTGGCTGTCTTTGCACTCATTTGACTTTTCTTCCTTTTCTGTTATCACTGTCTTATAGTGTGCAGTGTGCAGGCATTTCACCTTTTCGTTGAATTTATCCTGCATATTTTGTTTTTAATGCGATTGTAAAGTTGACTGCTTTTTTCATTTCTTGATTTACTCTCTAATCATGACCTGAGGATATTTATATTGATTTTACAGAGAGAGGGAGAAAGGGGGAGAGAGAGAGAATCAAAGATGTGAGAGAAAAATTGCTTGGTTGCTCCTATATACACCCCAAACTGGGACCTAACCAGCAAACTATTTGTGTACTCTGACCCGGAATCAAACCCACAGCCTTTTAGATGTTTGGGACGATGCTCCAACTGACTTAGCAACCTGGTTAGGACTCTTCATTTCTTTTTATCTTCAATGAAAGATTTTATTTATTTATTTTTAGAGAGGGGCAAGGGAGAGAGAAAGAGAGAGAAACATCAGTGTGTGGATGCTTTTCACATGGCCCCTACTGGGATCCTGGCCCTCATCCCAGGCATGTGCCCTGACTGGGAATTGAACTGACAACCTTTTGGTCCACAGGCCAGCACTCAGTCCACTGAGCCACACCAATTAGTGCTGTTTTATTATTTAAATTTTGCTTTGTATCCAGTATTCTCCTATTGTTCTTGTGCCAGTTTCTTGTTTAAGTTGGTTCCCTTTGTATTCTCTGGTGGCTCATGGATATTTTTGAAAGTAAATATTTTGGATTCCTTATCAGGCTGTACATTGAAATCCATGTGTTTTTGATTATTGGGAAATTCTTATGGTCTTTTGGTCAGGTCCTTGTTTTTAGTATTTCTTTTAATCCTCTATTAAGTTGTATGCATTTGATGAAGCAGTAACTCCTTTCCATTTTATGGACTAATTCTGGCTAGAGGGATAGATTCATCTACATGTGGATTTCAGGGTCTCCTGAGTCGGTGTTGTGTCTCAGTCTTAGACAAGTCCCACCAACCTAGTCTCCTTGATGCTACATGAGGTGAGGTCAGAATAAGAAAAAAATGTACAGGTCAACTGTTGGTTTGGCAGCATTTCTTTTCAATGACAGTCAAGGGTTTTGAAGTCTTTGGTGGCACTGAATTTTTGGTTCTTCCTGGACTAGGCTGTGGACAAAGGGATGGTATTTTGAGTTTTGTGCTGAGGAACTCTGTAGGGTCCTCTGATTTGTAAACCATGTGGAGTTCATGGATGTTACAAGGCCTTCTCTAGTTCTTTAAAACAAAAATTTCCTGTGTTTTTCACAGAACAGTCCACTAAGGCCAACTTGAGTACAGTCATAACAGTTGATAGATGTAACTCTGACCCTTGTTTTTGAGCCTTGCTGTCTTCAAACTTGTTTGGTAACCCATCCTCCCTGTCATCTTTTCTGTGGTCTTCTCTGTTTTTTGCACATTGCTTTGCTGCTTGTCTTTTGTGTTTGTTTGTTTGTTTGTTTGTATGCTTGTTTATTGAATTTAGAGAGACAAGGGAAAGGGAGAAAGAGTAAAAATCATCACTTTGTTTTTCCAATTATTTATGTATTCATTGGTTGCTTCTTGTATGTGCCTTGACCAGGGATCGAACCCACAACCTAGGTTAGCAGGTCGATGCACTAACCCAGCAGTCTTCAACCTTTTTGGCACCAGAAACCTTTTTACCAGAAGGTGGGTGGGTGGCATGGGAGTGTAGGGGGTTGAGGGGAGGGGAACTGGGAGGTGCAGCTCAAGTGAGCTCCTTGCTCACCCACTGTGGACGCGTCCAGGAAGAGACAGGAGGCCTAGCTCAGTGGAGCTTCACTTGCAGCCCAGTTTCTAACAGGCTGAGGAGTGGTATGGGTCGGTGGTCAGAGTTGGGGGCCACTGCTCTAACCAACTGAGCTACCTGGTCAAGGCTGATTTTCTGTTTGTCTTATTTAGATTTATATTCCCCTCCTCCATGATTGATTTTTGTGTGTGTGTGTGATAGCCATCTACTTGTTGTGGAAGAATGGAGAATTCTCTTATATCTTATTCGTCCATCTTGCTGAAGTTACTCACATAGACCTTTTCTCTGTGGTCTCTTGTGCTTTCTTGTTCTGCCATAATGCTGGTCATCCATCTCTTCAGTTCTTCTCTTTGAATTTATATCATGTGTATTCCATGTAATGGCTCCACTGGGGTTTAAGGGCAACATTGCATTTGTGCAGTCTAGGAGAAACACAGTTCTGTCCATGACAGAATGGATGCAGAAGCTGTCATGTTTTGGTGAAGGGGTGTTGGAGAGGGTTAGGCGCATGGGCTTTGCTAAAGTAATAACTAGCAACCCATTTTGTATTAGTATTTTGTTACCATTGCCAGTTCCTCACCCCATTCTACTTATGCTTGTTTATTGTTGACAAAGTGTCAACTATTCAGTTCTGAGTTATCATTTCTAGTCAGATTTCCAGTCCAGAGGTAATCTTCACCTATCTAAACTTTGTTCCTCAACCATTTCCTTTTTCTTAGAGATTGTGTTTATTTTTAGAGATAGGAGAAAGGAGGGAAAAGGAGAGGAGGAACATTCTACATGTGAGAGATGCATTGATCGGTTGCCTCTCGTGCAACCCTAATTGGGGTCCTGGCCCACAATGCAGACATGTGCCCTTACTAGGAATCAAACCAGCAAACTTTCATTTTGCAAGCTGGTACTAATTGCATTGATGCACACCAGCCAAGGCCTCAAACTCTTTTTAATACAGGTTTTGTTTTGTTTTATTTTTTTTTTTATTTCACTCTAACTTTGGTCTATGCGTACAGACCCTTGGAGAGCACACATATCATTACATTGACATTTAACATCACAGGCTCTAGTATAATTGATCTCGATGAGGTTGAGCTCATTCAAATTGTTCTACACAGCTTCTCTTCACCAGCAGGAAAGATCCTACAGGAAGCCATTTGTGGAAGAGTAGTAGTAGACCCTGACTATCTACTTCGTGTTTCATCCTACGCGCCTGTCTCTTTTTTGGTGAGGTCACTAACACTGCTGTACCTTTTGGCCAAGTAATGTATAACAGCCATTTCTTCAGTGCGTAACTCACGTCTCTTGAAAATGACTTCATACAATCATGCCTAACTGTGAGAGCTGACCATTTATGCTGAGGATATTCCTTCCTCACAAGGTCAACATATACTTCACCAGTGTTTCCTTTTGTTCAGGTTGCTGCTGTGGAACAAAGGACGTGGAAGAACTGATTGAACAAAACGTTTCTGTAAGAGTGGTACAGGCAGAGAATCCCAAGGTGGCTTTGTCTTCCCAGAAGAGCCACCCATGTGAGAGTTGTGGGCCAGTGCTGAGATACATTTTCCACATGACTAAAGAGCAGGAAACACAGCACAGCCAGAAATCATTGCAGTGTGGGGCATGTGGAAAAAGATTTTACATCAGTACAAAGTGTCACCAGCACCAAGAGCACCACGTGAAAGAGAAGCCTTTCAGAAGAGATGGGGACAGGATCCTACTTGCAGAGGGCTGCAATGGCAGTGTGTCCAAGAAGCTTTTTACCTTTGGGGAGGTTGGACAGGACATCCTCACCGAGTCAGAACATCTCCAACAAGAGGCTGCTCACACCAGGGACAGCCCAAATGAAATGTCACCATGTGGAAACACTATTCAAAGCAGAGAAAATTATTTCACCCTGAGTGTATGTAAAAAAGCCATTGGCTGCAGTCGTGCATATGTTGAAAAGAAGGGTGTCCATACTGGAAGACAATGTTTTGTGTGCCATGATGGTGGAAAAAATGTCTCCAGAATTTCTAGCTTTTGTTATTGTCAGAGAGTTCCCAGTGAAGAAAAGCCCCATCAGTGCAGTGAATGTGGAAAATCTTTTAAAAACTTGTCTCAACTTCGTTATCATCAGACAGTTCACACTGCAGAAAGGCCCTATCAGTGCAGTGTATGTGGGAATTCTTTTAAAAGAAGAAATGCCCTTTATCGTCACAAGAAAATTCACACTAGAGAAAAGTCTTATGAATGTAATGAATGTGGGAAATCTTTTGCCAATAGCACTCATCTCCATTATCATCAGAGTGTTCACACAGGAGAAAAGCCAAATCAGTGCCGTGAGTGTGGGAAAACTTTTAAAAAATTGGCTCTACTTCGTTGTCATTGGGCAGTTCACAGTGAAGAAAGGCCCTACCCATGCAGTGTATGTGGGAAGTCATTCAAAACAAGAAGTAGCCTTTATTTACATGAGAAAATTCACACTGGAAAAAGGTCTTATGGATGTAGTGAATGTGGGAAATCTTTTATCAATAAAAGTCTTCTCCATTATCATCAGAGAATTCACACAGGGGACAGGCCTTATGTGTGCAGTGAATGTGGGAAATCTTTTACCAGAGGTGATCACCTTCGTTCTCATCAGAAACTTCACACTGGAGAAAGGCCTTATGAGTGCAGCAAATGTGGGAAATCTTTCTTCCGAAAGAATGCCCTTAATTGTCATCAGAGGGTTCACACTGAAGAAAGGCCTTATGAGTGCAGTGAATGTGGGAAATCTTATCGCAGTAGTGGTGGCCTTCATTTTCATCAGAGACTTCACACTGGAGAAAGGCCTTATAAGTGCAGTGAATGTGGGAAATCTTACTGCAGTACTAGTGGCTTTCATTCTCATCAGAGACTTCACACTGGAGAAAGGCCTTATGAGTGCAGTGAATGTGGGAAATCTTTTTGTAGTAGTAGTAGCCTTCATTCTCATCAGAGACTTCACACTGGAGAAAGGCCTTATGAGTGCAGTGAATGTGGGAAATCTTACCGTTGTCTTGCTAGCCTACGTTATCATCGGAGTACTCACACAGGTGGAAAGCCTTATGAGTGCAGTGAATGTGGGAGTACTTATCGCAGTAAAAATAGCCTGCGCTATCATGAGAGATTTCACAAAGGAGAAAGGCTTTATTATTAAAGTACAGTGAATGTGCAGAAGGGCATAGATGTTAGGACATATACAGGATTTTTGTTTCATGTTAACAATAACGGAATTCTGTGAAGCCTTGCCTGAATCAAATCTCATACAGCCAAGCCTCAAAAGTAAAGAGGTTCCCATAATAACCTTTCATATGTGAAGCATGTGTATCCAGGTTGCCCTTTTTTTACCCAGGTGTTTTTTTACATCTGTGTCACTGCATATTTTTGTTGAAGCTATTTCCTGTGTACCAGCTATAAGGTTCCAAGAGATTCCATGAGTCATCATCCCTGATGTGCTCAGAAAAAGTAACTTCCCCGTGATTTGTTGCAGAAAATTAGGAGTAGCCTAGCTTTTTAGGTCTTTCTTTGCTCTCTCACTACTTGGTGCATTGACATGACTTAATTTTGGCCCAGAAAACATCATCTGAATTTACATGCCAGCTTGTAAGAGGACTGCATTTTTGCAGGACATTCTTTTTTACATAACCAGGGATCATTTTTGAGTGTCCAAATCACCAGTGCAGGAACTGCCTAGATGATCTTCCTTGGCTTGGTAAAGTAATGGAAGACTTTCCCCCAAGTCTTCTTTAATTTTGGGTGCTCTATTTTGTGGGGTAATTCATAAGCAGTTTTGGGCCCCACAAGCATCAAGATGTGAACAGTTTTATGTGTGTCTCAACTTCCTCTGCCTCTGTGGGGACAGTTTAGTGCAGAAATCAACTTAGTGGTTTTTGCCAGACTTGCATTCCTGCTCATGTGTTCCCAGGCAAGACTGTGGGCTTTGTAGTTCTTATGAGAAGCTTCAATAGTGTGAGTTTCAGAAGACATGGACATCACTACAAAGAAGGGGTAGGTATGCCAACCTCAATATGTCTGGGAACAGCATGAATTTTTTCTTGTAAAGGATGGCAATATTTTTGCAGGGATCTCTGGCCCAGACCTTGCAAAGAGCCATGTGCTCTAATGTCTGCAGTTTCATGGGGGATGGTCAAGTGGTAACACCCTAGAGGTGAGGGAAACTGATTGCAAGAGAAACTGTTATGACAGGTGCTGGAGGAGACTAAGGCAACTAGACAGAATGTGCATTTTCTCAGCATGCATCCAGAAACGTTTCTGAGAAAAAGACTGCAGGATCGGTGTGTACACAAATTGCAGGATCTGAAGGATTATTTATCTCTGTTGATTCAGTCATTGTCATTGAATGTAATCAAAAGGTTTTGTGGCCTTGGCCAGGTAGCTTAGTTGGTTAGAGTATCATCTTGTTACGTTAAGGTTCTGATTTCAATTCTTAGTCAGGACACATACAAAAGCAGCAAACGAATGCACACAGAAGTAGAACTACAAATCCAGATTTCTTTTCCTCTTTTCCCTCTCCTCTCTCCCTGCCTCTTTTCTCCCTGTCCCTCTCTCTCCCCTTTCTCATTCTAAAATGAGTAAAAATTTTTAAAAAGTTTTTGAATTTCTGTCACCTCTGAGATGTTCATGTCAGAGCCACTGGTGCCTTAGTAGAAAGAAAAATGAAGAAAAGTGAAGAAAAATGAAGAAAAGTTTTGACCCAGCCACAGTGCTGTTGCTTTCAGTGAGTTTGTTATTTTTTGCATTATTTGCTGTTACTAAGGCAACACATCACCCAGAAGAAATGAGAATGTGAGTTGAATATAGGGTTGCTAAACCTATTTTCAAAATGAGTTGCATGTACACATTTTAAAAATGTTGATTGACTTTTAAAATATTAAAATTACTAAACACATTTCAAGTATAAAAGTTGATCAGTCTTCACTTATACATGACATTGAAACCATCACCATTGTCACAGTACTGACCATTACTGTCACTGGGAATTTACTTCATGGCCATTTTAATCTCTCCCACCCCTCACTACTCTGGAAGTAAACAATGATTTATGTTCCATTCTAATAGATAACTGCAATATCTTAAATTTAGTTATGTGAGTAACATTATTCTGCTTTCATATACATTGCATATGTATTTGGAGATTTACTAATGATATATTAGTGACTCATCTGTTCTTGCTGAGTAATTATTTTTTAAAGTATATTTTATTGATTATGCTATTACAGTTGTCCTATTCTTTTCTCCCCTTTATCCCCTCTGCCCCGTATCCCCTGCCACCAGAATTCATCCTCCCCCTTAGTTCATGTCCATGGGTCGTACATATAAGTTCTTTTGATTCTCCATTTCCTATACTATTCTTAGCCTCCCTTTGTCTGTCTTTTGTACCTACCATTATCCTTATTCCCTGTATCTTTCCCCCATTCTACTCCCCCCCCTCCCCACTTGTAACCTATTTTCATTTTTTTCTTCAACAAGTACTTTCATATTTCATATTGTAATGCAGGACACATTCGCCACGAAATAGGGGAGGGCTTTGAACTGTGCATGTGTGACTGGAGACTTTGCCCCCCTTGCTACATCATTGCCAGGAGAGGGAAAAAGGCAGTTTACACTGGCCTTCATTGCTAGGAAGGCTGGATACTCCCACTGGCTTCTGATGTGAATCGGATTCTGGGAGGGGACTTTTGAAATGGAGTGTGCTTGAAAGCATGAAGATAGTTGGTTCCTTCCTCTCCCTCAGTGCGTAGGTGTGTCAGTGGTCACCAGCAAGCCTGCCAACAGTGGCCAGTGTACCCCTTAACTGCAGGCATGGGGATGCTGATTCTGAAAGATGCCAGGAGCTGGATGGGAACTGGAGACCAGCTAAACCACCTATACTTATGATACTTTTGGGTGGGAAAAATTCCTGATACAACCTTGAATTGAACTGGCAGAGGGGGACAGGGTGATTTTTCTTGAGTGTCTTAGAGGGGACAGGTTTTGAGGCAGAAGCTTCCCATTTTTCCAAAGACCTTGGCAATAATACTGTGAACAGATTTTTGTTCTTGTGTTATTTTCAGTTCTTGAACCTATTGTAATGAGACTTTCTGATGTCATACACTGACTTTTTCTTTCCCCTTACTTTTTTTACCCAGATATTTTTAGGCAGAAACTTGCCATTAAATAAAAGATTCCTTTCTTTTCCAGTGAACTCTGATTTTGGAGATTTTTTGGTTAAGCAGTGAGTTGTAGGACCCCTCTCCCCCTGCTTCTGGTTGGTTGCAGTAACAACATCAATTACCATATCATATGTAATGCAGGAGCTCCAAACCAAGCAGTTACACTGTCTTACTTTGGGGGGCAAGTAAAGAATAACTACCATTTCTTCAGTGTCTAACTCACTTGTCTTGAAAATCGCTTTATAGAATCATGCTTAGTTGTCACAGATGGCCATTTCTGATTAGGATATTCCTTCCCAAAAGGTCATCGTATTCTACACCAGTGTTTCCTTTTGTTCAGGTGGAGTAGAAGATGTGGAAGCAGGCAAAGAATCCCAAGGTTTTTATTTTCCAGGAAGAGCCATGCCTGTGGGAGTTGCTGGCCCATCTTGGGAGACATTTTTCACTTTATTGAGCAGCGCGAAACACAAATAGCCTTAAGCTGCTGAGGTGTGGGGCATGTCCAAAATGATAGGGAACTTACCTTGTGGAATGGCAAATGTAGCTGACCCCTATCAGAAAACCGATAGGCACGAGTCGGCACATGGGAAACCAAACCTATGGATCAGCTTTCCTGTGGGAAACCAGGCCTGCTTTGAGGTTTGCTCATACTAAAACTTCCTCACTGTGAGTTGAAGTAGCAAATGCTTACTGCATACCTTTAAAGTCACTTTTTAAAGTCTGCTAATTCTCCCAAGGACAGAGTGTAACCAGACCAATCACTCATTCCCTTGCATTTGCAACACTTTTTCATTGTTAATCTGTAAGAAGTAATCAGTAACATCCTTTCCTTTATTATCTTTAAAAGTAATCACCTAAAGCAAACCTGAGCATAATGAATGAGAACCTTCTTTCATGTATACTATTAAAAAGCCAATAAAAGCTTGTCGAGGCAAGGGTTGAGGTGCTCTCAGTGGCTGTGCTGTCCCATTTTCTCCACAGGACATCTGTAGTCCGTGTGAATTTTCATTGCATCCACAACACCTCGGACACTGCTAGCCAGAGTCCACATCACAAAACTTCCCGAAAGAGAGACCCAGTTGACAGAGGAGGAATGTGAGGATCACACCAGGCCAAGGGGACAGAACAGGAAGGAGTGGAGTGGGCAGACGTTGAACACAGGTTGCAAATGCCTCTTCTCTAGACACTTTTTAATAAAACTACTTTTATGTATTCATTTTACCTTTAAATCATATGAAAATTGGACAGAAGAGTCAGGGGCTTGTGGGTCACTGCAGTGAGGTGTCCCAAAACGGGTCTCATTCGAAGAGGCCCCTCCCTCCCCCATGTTTTATTCCAGACCTGGAAATGCTGGTGGTGTGGGTGCAGCCCAGACTGAGGGGCCTGAGCTGAAACAGCCTTTGGTTGAAGGTTCAACCTTCCCCATATTGTTCAGTCCCCTGCCCACCACCACTGGCTGAGGGGGACCCCTGAGAGTCTGTCCTTCCCCTGAGGAGGAGGCCCAGAGCCTTGGGGATTGTCCACTCGGACCTCTGTCTCTACTCTGTGTCACTAAGTCCAGACCTGCCACTTCGCAGAAGCGTTTGTGTGCAAGTCAAATAAAAAGCAAAGCTCCTCCCCATTCTCAGCCCTTGTCATCCTTCCCTCCAAAGCACACTATGGACAGTGGCAGTGTGACCTTCCAGAAGGTTCTGTGCATATCTGCACAGACAGGATGGGGGCAGCAGGTGCAGCGGGAACTCTGCAGCTGCAGGGCCCAGGTGAGACCCTGCCTTGCTACTCACCCTGTGGTTCTGGGAGTGATGATGCCTCGGTTTCCTCATCTGTAAAATGATGATGGAAACCAGGTAAAATGAGTCAATATTCGTAGAGGATTTCAAACAGTGCCTGGAGTATATTAAACGTGTCAGTGCTTGTTAAAGTAAACGTTTTCTTCTCTGTTTTAGCTAATGTGATAAATAACTTTCACTATTTTGCCTTTTTA